CAAGTAATAGGCTTGGTCAGACTGACACATTTAAACACAGACTTAGCCTTTTAAGATCAAAGTTCGGTTCTGCTCGGCCCATTAACACCCCTAGTAATGACCCTCCGGACCGAGCCCATGTTATCATTTATAACTTTCAACATTTTTTTTTTTTTGATAACATAACTTTCAACATTTTATCTCAACATGGTTTGTTATACTGTAAATATAAGAGGAAAAAAAATCCTGGCCAAGCCCATTTTGCCATCTCTATCTGTAAACATTTTATATCATCGTGTAATAAATGAAGAGTTGCCTCTAAATTGACTTTTTTGAAGTATGTGTATTTGTGACATATATATTAAATAAAAAATTGACAAATATTTGAGTTATTACGTTTAATATTCTAACAAACACTTAGCCACACAAAGATGGGCTTGTTAGACAGTAAATATAAGAAGAAGAAAAATGTGTTGGCAGACGGGTTGGGTCGGTCCTCCTGGTCGAGGCCAATTTGCTATCTCTAATTGTCAACATTTTATGTCAGCATGTAAAGTTATAATATTTAAAAATATTAAATTATGCATGATTTATATTTTGAAATCACATATAGTTTTAAAAAACAAATATAATTATAAGTGTAATTTTACTTTGATTTTAAGTATATGTATTCAATTATTTGGTTTTACTTTCCAATAATTTGACTGGTATTACTCCACAATTCGATATTATGACTAATTCTTTTGATTGTAAGTGTAATAACAACACCGGTAAAAAAAACTCCTTCCATTTGCTTGTATCGTAAAAGTTAACACAATTCAGAAATTACGTCGTTTGACTCGGCTTCTTTTAGTATTTATCGAATATGGACTTTCATTTATCACAGTCTGATTGTTCATTTTGTTTAGATGCTTGTTTACGAAATATCTACAACACTAAATCCAAGGATATTAGCACTACAAAGACGAGTTTGTCACACACACACACACACACTTACACTTGCCGGGCAAGGCAGGTCGAGCCCATTTTATCACACACACACACACACACTAAATCCAAGGATATTAGCACTACAAAGACGAGTTTGTCACACACACACACACAAAGTGTTGCCGGGCAAGGCAGGTCGAGCCCATTTTATCACACACACACACACACACAAAGTGTTGCCGGGCAAGGCAGGTCGAGCCCATTTTATCACACACACACATATATTACTATCTATCAATGCTTTTCATAGTTGCCTCTAAAACGATTTTTTGAGATGTGTGTATTTTTTACATATATATTAGATGAAGAGTTGAAAAATATTTAAGTTATAACGTTTAACATTCTAACAAACACTTTATAGTTGGCAGATTAAATAGCATTAAAATAATAATATACTGCAAAATATTAAATGGTCATTTATTCCTTTTAATTGAGTAATTAAAAAGAATAAATAATTATTTTTTGCTAGGATTTGGGGCCTTAGTATTTGAAACTTTACAAAGGGTTATATTACTCTTATGTAATAGGAGATATATTATCTCATGTTGTAGATACAATTATATAGTAGGCCCCATTATTTATTAAAAAAAATAGAGAAGCACAAAAATCGATAGGTGTGTAGGAAGTTATATTATCTCATGCAACATGAGAGTAATATAACCCCTTTACAAATTAGTATTTACAAAATCAAAATCAGATTTAAGAATTTAATTATAAAATATGAAAAGTAGAATTTTAATTTAATTATAAAAACGTGCCCGGGGGCTAACTTGCCCATTTGATGGGCTGGCCCTTTAAATGTGTTGGATTTTTCTCTTTTTGTATTATTTTTTTAATTTAAAATTTTAATTTATTTTCTTTTAGGGTTATATTAATTTCATGTAATAAGAGATAAATTATCTCATGTCATAGAGATAAACTTGTGGGCTCCACCACCTGAAAAAATAAAAAGAAAAGAAAAGAAAAATGTGACACAGTTATCGAAGGGTGTGTAGGAGAAAAACTTATCTCTTGTAACATGAGAGTAGTTTTTCCCTTTCTTTTATACTATAAATATGTCATTTCTTTTCTTTTTTTGCATTTAAATTCCAAATTTAAATTATTTTTTATTGACTATGCATATATTTTTGTAATTTTAAATATTTTTCATTTAATCTATAATTTTATTTTAAATTTTAATTTATTATATATGTTTTTTCCATTGTAAAAATATCAAATAATGAAGTATTTTTCTACCTATCAAGTTCAAATTCAAATTTAAAAAGTCTGAATTTTAAATATTTAACATTTTCCCACCCAATAGACATAATAATAAATATTATTAATAGGTTTATCAATTTTTCATGTAAAAAGTTTTGGGAAACATTAAAATAGTCTGTAAAATACTTAACAACAATCATTTTTTTACAATGCAGGAGTTTGATGGTCACTAATCACTGAATGATCATTTATTTTTATAGTGATTAAATTTTTACAATTTATTTTTTATAGAAAGATATATGCCATTTTTTTATTTAAACATAAATTTTCAATTCTTTTGTATTCATTGTACACATTTTTTGAAAAATTATTTTTTTATTTTAATATATAATTTTTATATTGGATATACATATATTTTTAAAACATTTATGATAACTTTTTTAAAAAAAAAATACTTGTACGAACACTTTGAACATCCTTTGAAGAAATAGATGATGGTTTTACGAGGGTCGAAGTAGTTCCATCCCTGTCAAACTCATCAATCCAATAATCACAGTAAGCATATCTTTCAAGAACAAATATAAATTAAAAAACAACAACTACAGTGAGAAATAAATTATGTATGGATAGAAAGAATAGAAAGAAAAACTCATCTTACTCTTGCAGGTAGGGGTGTTCATCAACCGATCCAAATCGATTCAAACCGCGGTGACCGAACCGAAAAACTGAAAACCAAAAAATCGAAAACCGAAAAATCAAAACAAAAAAAAAAAAACCGCAAATTTTAATTGGATTGGATCGATTTTTGGATGGTTTAATGAAAATCGATTTAATCCAAACCGATCCAATATATTAATTTTCTTATACCTACTTGGGTCTTTTCCCAATCATATTCTAAAAATTTATAAACCCAAGACCCATTAACCATCAACTAAACCCAAGAAAAAATCTAGTAACATCTCATTAACAAAATTTTATCTTTGTAGAGCTTCATATCTCATTTCCAAAAAAAAAACTATATTATAGTTTACTAATGCTTTTGTATTTCAAAAAAAAGAGAAAAGAATTACAAAGTCAATATATACAAAAGATGTTATTTGCACAAAAATCATAAAATAAATTTTAGGATTTTCAAAAAACCAAAAACCGATTCAATCCAAACCGAAAAAAATTGGATTGGATCGGATCGGATTTGAAAAAAAATTCAAACCGAATGGATGATTATATGATCATACCGAAGGGATTGGATCGGATAATTTTTGCTTTCAAAATCGATCCAATCCAGAACGCAAACACCCCTACTTGTAGGCATTAAAGATATAAAACAAAATGACTTTAAGATAAAGGAGGAATTTATACCGCGTTGAATTTATACCTATCAAATTAAAATTAAAATTTGAAAAATAATGAAAAATATTAAATGCATAACTCTTTTCAATGTAGAAAGTAGTGAGATTTTATTGTATTGTTATTATTATGGCTTTTATTGAATGCAGCAAAATTAAAAGACTCTACACTTTTAAGTGTAGAAAGTAGTAGGATTTTATTGTATTTAAAATTCAAATTTGAAGTGCAATGAATGCTGAACTATTTTCCTATCAATGAATTAATAATAATAAAAATTTCAATTGGGTCTATAAGTGAAAAGAAATTAAGTTAATGAACACAAAGTAAAAAATGCATGACAAAACAATACGTCAGTAAATTTGCCTCCTTTAATATAAATATAGATATAAAGGAAAAACTATTCTCATGTTATATGAGATAAATTTTCTCTCTTACACATTCTTCGATAACCGTGCCACCTTTTTATTTTTTTAGGTGGTGGAGCCCATAAATTTATCTCTATAACATGAGATAACTATCTCCTTTAACATGAAATTAATAAAATCCTAAATATAAATATATAAATATGTCAAACTAAAATATAATTCTGTTACCTAATGATTTCCTTTCAAAAATAGTATAAGATTTGGATTATCAAAGATTTAGATTATCAAAGATTTGATGGCTTTTTGACATTAGTAATCTCATTTTCTTAAATCAGATCGTCAATTTTGTACTAAGGGTGTCTTTCGAGTATACCGAATCAGTATAGCTATCCTTCTTCTGACACAACAAAGAGAATAATTAATTCATAAATTTACTAACAATAAAATTATAAATTATTATAATTTTAGGGTGTTGTATGAAAGTCTTTATAATAGTTTATATTATTCACTTACACATTCACTCATACGATTATAATAGGTTATATTATTCACTTACACACTCACTTATACGAAAGCCCTTTGGGCTTGAAGTATGAATTAATTATTCTCTGGTTTAAGAGTTAGTCTTCTAACCAATAAAGAATAAATTGCTAGCAACAAGTTTGTGCGAAAATAACTTGTTGCTTTTATTGGATTTTTTGAACTCTTTTAGTGTGAATATATCAATATGCCTAAATTTTAGGTGAAACATATATATCTGCTTTTGACTTGTAACCTGGAATGCACTGACACGCGGCTGAGAGGGTACCGCGTCTTGGGAATAGGACGTGATTGTCAGGGTATCACGTTTCAGTAGTCAGAAAAAAGGACGCAGTTGTTAAAGTGTCACGTCCTAAAGTGATTCCCAAATTATTTCAGTACCGCGTTGTTATACATTATATAAGTAATATGTTTGACCAATAAATTATTCCGTGAAAACTTTACGAAAATGAGATTAGTAAGCTCAAAAAGCAAGATTTGATTATTAAAATATATAAATTATCAACCCAATCCTTAAAGGCCACATCATCTTCAAGGTTTGCTTTTGTAACTCTCTCAGAATAAACCGCCTGTTCTGAATGCGAGGCAAAGCTTAGGTTGCCCTAATTGTATGATTTTGCCTTTGGCGCCGGCTTTTTTCCACCTCCTTTTCCTTCCACGGCGGTGGTCGAATGTTCCCCAAATTCAAAACCCTAATTTCAAAAACCTAATCTCATCAGTTTCGATTGGAGCAGGTGCAACATGACCAATGAGATCGGGCAGAAGCCTCCCCCTTCGATTCTCGTGGCTCGATTCAAGGCTTTGCTTAAGCAACGCGAGGATGAACTGGGGCTGAGGGCTTCAGGTGAAGCGTCGCCACCCACCACTGAAGAAATTGTTCGGATTTACGAGGAGTTGTTGTCGGAACTCACCTCCAATGTGAAGCCCATTATCACCGATCTTACCATCGTCGCGGAGCAGCAGAGGGACCATGCCAAAGGCATTGCTGATGCTATTTGCGCTCGGATTCTTGAGGTCTGTCTTGGTAGCCGCCGAAAGTTCTTATCTTTTTCCACCCTTTGTAAACCATACAATCATCATTCGGATCAAAGCTGTTTCAATTTCCCCAACTTCAAATGTCTTCTCTTTCTTCAGATTTTTTTTATTTTTATTTGTTTCACTATCTACTTTTATTGCGCTGTTTAGGAAAATTACGCCTTCCCATTCACTTGGGTTTCACAATTCCGACGATTACTTGCGTTATTTGAGTGGTTGTTGCTCGAAATGACCTCCACCACCATCATCATGATTATTATTATTATTAGAAGTAGTATTATTATCCAACTAAAACAAGTTGTAGCTACTGACCTTTTAAAGAATAGGAATTGTATCATGTAATCATAACTGATTGAAATTCAGAGACGCAAGGATGCAACAAATTCGAATACTTTATTCAATTTCAGGAGATTCCAATGGCAAACAAAAATGAATTAATTATGAAAAGATTCAGGCCTGGCATTTGAAAAAAGTTGTCATTGTAGTTTTGCTGAAACAAGTTTTTTTTTGGCAATCTGCTGAAGTTAGAATATACCTCTACCTCTACATGTTTTCTCACAGAAAATTATCTTCTGCTCTCTCTCTCTATATATATGTGTGTGTGTTTGTTAGGATCATTTTACACCGGTGTTCTTTTGTGACTGAAAGTTCAGTGGTAAAGTTAGTGTGGTTTTAATAGAAAGTGGTTTTTTATATATTCTATGAATGAGTTACATGTGTTTAAACTTTCTCGTAGTTTTGAAATTTTAGGAATTTTAGTATTGGAAGTTCTATAAAAGGGAACAGTGATTTTATAACAAATGAGAATGAACAAGGCAACAGTTGAATGTTAAACAAATTATTGAGAAGATTGAATAATTTTGGTGGGATATGCTTAGTTGGCAGAGACTCTTTGTTAACAATGACGATGCAGGGATAAAGTATTGTGTCTCAACCCTGCGTTAAGGTTAATATTAAGAGATTAACCACCATTGATCTCTCTTATGAAAAATGAGGAGTTTGTTTAAAGAGTTTGGTAAATGAATGTGTATTAAAATATTTCGTAGTTGATAAAAAATGGGAATAAATTATGCAAAATGATGTCTCTATTTGCTATTGAGTTCGATGTATAGAGTGAACATTTTTTTCCTTTAATCTTTCGTTATGTATTTCAGTTAATAGTGTGTAGTAGAAAATTAATAATTCTGGTATTATTGGAATCTCGGATGTTTATATGGTTCTTCAGCTGTTTGAAGCTATCCTTTTCCAGGTGCCTGCAGATCAAAAGCTTCCTTCACTCTATCTGTTGGACAGTATTGTGAAGAATTTTGGCCAGGAATATATCAGATACTTCTCTTTACATCTACCGGAAGTAGGTCAACTAGAGTTGTATTACTATTTTAATTCATAAATCATTTTGTTTTGTTATTGAAATTTGTAGTTCTATTGTTTTCCAAGGTTTTCTGCGTGGCATACAGACAGGTTCGGCCTAATTCGCATTCTGCTATGCGACATCTCTTTGGTACGTGGTCAAAAGTCTTCCATCCCTCTGTCCTACGGAAGATTGAAGCTCAATTGCAATTTTCTCAAGCAATTAATAATCAACAATCCAGTGTTAATCCCCTCAGGACTTCTGAATCTGCTCGACCAAGTAACGGGATACATGTTAATCCAAAATACTTACGACAGATGGAACACTCTAGTTCAATTATGGATAGTGTAAGCTTTTTTCTGAAATCTGTCTTCTATACAAACTATCTATAATCTCACCTTGTTTGTTTGCTGAGCCGACAAGGATGTGTTTGGCATTAATAATTTACATGTATTCACAAAAAAAGAAGAAATTGTTTACATGTAACCATAACTCAATGTAATTCTTGTGGCAAATATCTTTATTTTGTCCATATGCTCAGGATCTCTCTGTTTCCATCTCTCAGCAATTTTTTCATTGAGTCTCCTCGTTAAATAATTTTTAGTGCCCTTGAAGCAGTTAAAGACCTGGATGACACATTATATACTTTTAATTCCATGTCTCCAATTTGCGCTTTCTTCTATGAGAAAAAGATTCTGTTTATATCTGTTAGTATCCACTGCCAACAGAGAGATCCTGCAAACAATAAGATGTATTCTGACAGGGTTTTGGTTTAATCCTAACAGGTTGGAGGTGAAAGGTTGGACTTAACAGGAACTGTAGGTAATACAAATTTTGGCCCTGTAGCTAGTAAGAACCATCAATTTGTGCCTAGTAGGTCTGGAAGATCCTCTTCACCTTCAAGAACTGGACTAAATAGGGCTTCATCTGCATGTATGGATGAATATGCAGCTGACAATTCTGTTGGCAGGACAGTTGAGAGTGAGTCTCCTCATCCTGCAGTTGATTATGGAGTAGCTAAAGCATTAGGGAGAGAAGAAGAGTTGATTGAGTGGCATCAAAAGCAGTTTTCTGGTGATGGTCGGAACAGATTTCAAACTTCCATGACATACAGTCTTAGTAATGGACAACAGCGTCAAAGTCCACGAGCTCTAATTGATGCATATGGCAGTGACAAAAGCCAAGAAACTTCCAGCAGTAAGCCTTTGTTAGTTGAATTGCTGGATAGAAATGGTATAGACAAGGTTTCGACAACATCATGGCAGAATACGGAAGAGGAGGAATTTGATTGGGAAGATATGAGTCCAACATTAGTAGACCATAATAGAAATAATGGTTTCCTGAAACCAACTATTGGTTTCTCCGCGGAAAGGCCTGTTATTGTTGCAGCTAATGCAACCTCTTCAGATCAAGATACCAGGAAGGGCTGGTCTAGTGGGTCTCAGTTTCCTCCAGTGGATGATTCCTCTGTTACAGCAGAAGATGCATTTGCCTCTTCAGCTGTATGTTTCCTCAACTTTTCTCTTTTATCTTTCTACTGTACAGTTCTTTAATATTGATTTATGATATTGCATTTTCCCTTCAAAATGTATGCCTTTGGCATATGTCTATGCTCACTAATCAGATCCTTCTAGATTTAATGATAATTTTCTGGTGATGAGGATTGTTAACTTTGTTTGGGGAGGTCTAATCAAATGAAATGTCTGGCGTTCATTCATACCTGACTGAAAATTGTCCTCTTATTTTTATCTTGTTCACATTGATTCACCAATTCCCAATTTTTTAGAATAAACTACAACCTTTTAAAATTTAGTCACATGATCAGGCATAGCAAATGGCTTTTGTTTGCTGATGTTTTCCTTTTAGTGTTTTGAATTTGGATCACACCTTTTCATCAACATGGAGTTTAGTTTCTTCTTTTATAATTAGAAAGGGAATAGGACTTGCCAATATCTTGCTGATGGATAACGAAATAGATAATTCATATTCTCTGCAGTATGGTCGTGTATCACGGGGTCAGGTGTCTGGATTCCAGAATCAAATAAATGAGAGTCCGGGGTCAGGTCAACATCTAGATGCTTGGAAGATTTCTAATCATCTGTCTAATTCTTCACAACACCTCTTTAATATTAGGGGACGAGATAGGAATCTTCTGATGCCTCCTATTCATAAAATTCCAAATACTGATGTAAACCCATATGGGACTCGACTGGCTGTGTCAAGGATTGTTCCTGGTCTCAAGTCTAACATGGAGGGTCATCTGCCAGTTTTGCCACCATCTTTTGAAATGAGGCCTTCTGTAAATGTGTATACTGCACGTCCGTCCAACTTAAATCCTATATTTCCATTGCAAAATCATGCTCGGACTCAATTCGAATCAATAAATGGTAATAATTCCATTGTGAGTCATGGTCCAAATAAATCTTTGCCTATGCGCGAACAGTTGTTGGACAGTGTTGATAACAAAGATATCAGTAAAGGAAACCGACATCCACTGCCTAATCATCTAGCTGGCCCGATAACATCTTCCCACCGAAATCGTGGACAAGTACCACAAGTACAGTTTCTTCCATCTCAGGATCCAGCAGCATCACAATTTAGTCGTGGGAGCTCTTTGCAAGGACAGAGTGCTTCTATGAGTACACTACCGCTACCTGTTATGCAATTCCCTCCGAGCCAAAGTATTGCAAATAACTCGTTACGTTTACAGGGGGGAGCCTTGCCACCTTTACCTAATTCTCACCTTCCTGCTCCATCACAAATGGTACCTCATCATAATGCTAGTCCTTCGGTGTCAAGTCAACAGCCAACTCTTGCATATTCTAATTTGATTAATTCACTCATGGCCCAAGGTATAATCTCATTGACTAATCAGCCACCTGGACAGGTAACTAGATCTATCATATGTTTTTTTTTCCTTCCACTGTTGATTGGATTGTGAAGCCCAAGATTGTAATTAAATCAAGTTTTATGTTTTTAGGATTCTGTTGGAATTGAGTTTAATCCAGATATTCTGAAGGTTCGTCATGAATCTGCAGTCAGTGCGTTATATGGTGATCTACCCAGACAATGCACAACGTGTGGTCTCCGATTTAAATGCCAAGATGAGCACAGTAGTCACATGGATTGGCATGTGACTAAGAACCGAATGTCTAAAAACCGTAAGCAGAAGCTCTCTCGTAAGTGGTTTGTGAGTGAGAGGATGTGGCTTAGCGGTGCAGAGGCATTGGGAACAGAGTCGATTCCTGGTTTTTTGCCAACTGAGACCATTGAGGTAAAGAAGGAAGATGAAGAGTTGGCTGTTCCTGCTGAAGAGGACCAGAATACATGTGCATTATGTGGAGAGCCTTTCGATGAGTTTTACAGTGATGAAACGGAGGAGTGGATGTATAGAGGAGCTGTATATCTTAATGCACCCGAGGGAACAACGGCAGGCATGGACAGGTCACAGTTAGGCCCCATTATTCATGCTAAATGCAGGTCTGAATCTAGTATAATCCCAGCTGAAGATTTTGGGCTCAATGAAGGGGTATGTGATTCTCATTCCACTACCTATCTATCCATTTGCCTCACTTTTATTATCATCGTAGTTCCACTCTAATATTCTTTGACCCGCAGTTTGATCTTTAGAGCGATATTGATTGACCAGAGTTTTTCCCATCTCCACCTGTCATGTTTTTACTTTTCCATTTGCAAAATGTACGTTATTTTGTGTGTGTGTGTGTGTGTGTGAATTATCTTACTTTTGCAAAATTGATTTTGGTTAAAGTTGGTTTGCAGTGAAGTGATTTATGTTTGGATACTTTTATCTGAAATTGATTTTGATAGAATAAATCTCACCATGAAATACTTAACCCTACATAAAACCATCATTTTATCCCTTCTAGTCAAACAGGTTTAGGGGCAAAAGCAATTTTGATTCAACGCAACCAAACACACAAAGATTAAGTAAAATCATGTTTGTTGTGCTAAACGGGAGTTTGAAGCAACCCAGCAGAAATCCAAACATGCTATCGATCGAACTCTTCCTCAACATGAACTAAACATCAAATTTCTGGAATGTAATCCTATGATTTGTTGCGAGCCAATTTTGCTAGTATTAACCGATGCATTGGATCTCAAATAATGAATGGTCACTAGTACGATGAAACTGAAGTTGATGCTACAAAGGGGAAGATATCATGGTTAATAAGCTTTATAAATATACTAAGATTTGATTGCGACTATACTAGTGGCAACTTTATGCCCGAACAGCACTTGTTAATATTATAAATGCCAAAAAAAGTAGCCTATTTAGTCTTTCTTTAATGATAACGTCTGGTGTTATTTATTTCGTGCGAACTTGTGTACGTACTTCAAGCTGAATCTAGCAAATATTGCAAATATTTATTCTTTTTGGTTTTTCCCATATGTATGCAGGGCACCTATGGAGAAGGCAGTCAAAGAAAACGAATGCGGGTTGACTAGAGTTGGCCAGTTTTGTGCACCGTAACTTGCGAGTTTCCGATTAGTGTATGCTTTTACATATTTTTTCAAGTAGAGCTGAATCATTTGTAATACGCGGCCACTTGCCAAAATCATGTACATGTATAGTAGCTCTGGTTACCTGCATATTTTCTTGCAGTCAAAGGTTATATCTAACCTGCAATTTTGTCGTTCCTGATATTCGTGGTCCCCACAAAAGCACAATATCCATGAACAGTTACTGTTTGTTCACTATGCAGATGTTTTTTTTTTTTTTTTTTTTTTTTCCCATAAATTAGTTTTGCTAGCCATTTCAGTGCCAACGATCCTTTCCTTTTATTATTTTTTAAATTGCTTTTCCTCTTTTATTTTGCTGACCCAATGAATGAAAAAAAAAAGCGGGATAAAATAAAAAAACCTAGTAAATTGATAATCTTCGGGCGTTTAGTCAGTGAGTACTTTTTTATTTCTTCAGTAACTTTTCGAGTATTTTGAAATTCTATTTATAACCCGTTTAACGGTTTAATCATAATCTATATAAATGAGGACTTTTTTTTTAAAAAATATTATCTTCAAAATGAACAAATAAATGTGTATTCTTAAATTAATTTAAAGTTTATCATAATTTTAATTTAATAAATAAGCTGTTTACTTTAGACACGTTTATTTTAAGGGGGTCCTGTCAATCGCGGGCACGATTCACTGTCTACTAATCGGATAAAATATTTGTTTGATGCAGGACCATACAAACTTTTGGTGGTTCTTTTCACAAACAATATTTTTTCTTTTCCAATCTTATCCATATTTTTTTTCTCATCTTCTCTTTTACACTTCCCATTTGTGATAAGGGAGCACTTAGTTTTGGTGCCCTCGGTTGATAGAAAATTCGCTCCTCCTAATCATAATGCCGTTTGTTGAATGAGTTGTGAGAACACTTCCTTTGATTTTTGTTTTGCAAAACAGTTTTTTAGTTTTGAGAATAAAAAGACTAAAAAATTCGTTTGGTAAGACCTGTTTTGTAAAAAATATTTTGAAAACTATAACTGTTTTTTTTTTTTTTTAAAATCAAATTTAGATAACATGTCTGAGTTGTTTTTGTTTTTTGTTTTGGTTTTTAACTTTCAAAAAGTAAAAAAATATAGAAAACAATTGTTTCCATAACTATTTTACAAAATAGTTTTAAGAACAAAAAAATAAGAACACAATCAAACAGACCCTAATATTCTGCTTTTCACATTCGCTTATGTCATAAACACGTGTCATGTGTTAATGGATCAAATTTTAAAGGAGCTTTAGGTATTCCTAGTATCTTCTCATGTGAAAAAGTGATAATGTAATCATATTATTTGATCATAATCACTCATAGATAATCAGATAAGAGAAAAAAAAGTATATAATTTTTAAACGAGTAGTTGTGATCAAATAACATGACTACGTAATTATTTTTTCACATAAAAAAAATTCACTCTCATGTTGGCAACATGAAACCGAGGCTAGTAGGCCTACAACTAGGATAGCGGCTCAATGTTCATGCCAATATAATTTAATTGAGGAAGAAAAAATCTAATATACTTCCATCGTAACTATATCCCATCAATAAGAATATAATATATTAAGTGACATATTTATTAAAAAAAAAAATCAACTTTAAAGTTTATAATTTTATTTTGAATAGAAATCATATCCAATAGTCAATGCGATGTAGTACCAAATATATTTTCATTGAAGAGGCATCAGTTTATACACGTGGAAATTAAAATTACTTTTACACTATTAGATACATCAATATTAACGTATACATATCTACTTTCAAATTATTATTTAATTTTTATAAGACTTGAACAAATAATTAAATAATGAATATATTACAATGGTTGTATCTTGTATCTTGTATCTTGCAATATCATTCTCTATCAAATTGTCTGCGATTGAAGACTATGGCTGCATCTTTATCTCCACGCCCGGAACAATTCACAACAACCTTGCTCCCATTGCGTAAAGTGGGGACCAACTTATCTAAGATAGCTAATGCATGTGCGGCCTCCAGGGATGGATATATGCCTTCCAATTTGCATAATCTTTCGTACGCTGCAAAATTTATCAGTAGGTGAACTGTTATAGTTGGAGCACTATCAATTTTCTTTTCAAAAAAATAAAAAATAAAAATAAAAATAAAAATTACATATGTTTATGTTTTTGGCGTACCATCAAGAGCTTCTTCATCAGTTGCAACGCAGAATTCCGCACGCCCGCATTCCTTAAGAAAGCTTAACTCTGGACTAACTCCTGGGTACTCCATCCTGCAAATTAAAAAGTCCAATTTTATTTTTTTGGTACATAAAAAAGTCCAGTTTTATTTCAACTGGGGATACCTTTTTCTAATAAATAATTTTCCGTTAAAACTCAGACATTGATGTGATGTTTCACTACAAAAAGAAGTTGAGGTGATCTTTACGTACTTTTTCTAAAAGAAATTGAGGTCTTACTTTTATAAATTATAAATTAATTCATAAAAGCCATAATTTATATACAGGGTAAGTTTTTCTTGTATGGTTGTAAATATACGTAATCTTATACTTAATTTTTTCTTTTTTGTCATTCTTCTATGTTCTATTTGTATTATATGGCTCATATAACTAACAAAAGTTTTTAGTAAAAAATGTGTATCATTTTAAAGGATATAAAATTGTGTCATTTTAAGTGAGAGAAAGAGATAGATACAAGAGAAGAGAGAGTGGACAAAAAAAATATAAAAATGTGGATCTCACTTCTTTATGAGAGTGAAATGACATAAGTTGTGTACAAACACTTTTCCAAATTTTTAATAAAAAAGTGGAGGAACTTACCCAGCTGCAATGGAGTGTGGTTGAATAATTTGTCCATCCTCATCCTGGAGTAAATAGGTCATGGCTCCATGGTAAACACCAACTTCTCCGGTAGCCAAGGTTGAAGAATGTTTTCCAGTGTCCAAGCCAAAACCAGCAGCCTCAACTCCAATGAGTCTAACATCTCTATCTGGTATAAACTCATGGAACAGACCAAGAGCATTAGAACCAGTCCCTACGGAAGCAACAAGAACATCTGGTTTTCCTCCCCATTTTTCCAATGCTTGCATCCTTGTTTCTTTCCCTATGACTGATTGAAACTCACGGACCATAGTCGGACATGGGTGTGGTCCCACAGCTGAACCCGTCAAGTGGTAGCTGTTTTCCAAGTCTTCCACCCAATTACGAAAGGCCTCTGATGCTACATCTTTGAAGCTTCCATTAACTGCTTCAACCTATACACATGATATATGTATTAATTGGTTTGCTCATAATTAATTTCACACGGAGCATAAATTTATGATTTTATAACTTATCTACGTTGATAGATAAGTTATTTACATTCGCTCCCAAAATGACATCATTTTAAAGCGGAAATCAAGGTAATTTTATGATTATAACTTATTTCAGAGTTATAATAGTCTTTTTCATTATAATTTTTTAATTTTTCAACTCAAAACGATGTCATTTTAGGAGCGAATGTAAATAACTTATCTATCACAGAGGAGAAACATTAAATCCTAAATTTATTTATATAATCGTTAAATAGGTTATGGATTCGATTGATTTGATAATAAATAAATAAGTAATAGTATTTCACAAAGAAAAAAAGATCGAAAAGAGAGAAAGTTGTTTTACCTTAGCTCCTAACAACTTCATCAAACGCACGTTTGAAGATTGTCTGTCCATGTCTTTGGCGGCCATGAAGACCGTACACTTCAAACCGAGTTTGGCGCATGCTGCAGCTGTTGCAAGCCCATGTTGTCCAGAGCCAGTAGCGGTGACAACGCTTTTTCGACCCATTCGCTTAGCAAGCATGGCTTGTGCAAGAGCATTATTCATCTTGTGAGAACCACTGTGGTTGAGATCCTCTCTCTTTAAGTATATATCAGGCCCTTTCCCATTATTCTTGCTCTTGTAATACTCTGAGAACCGCTGAGCATGATACAGAGGTGTCTCTCTCCCTGCATAATCTCTTAACGCCGCCGCTAGCTCTGCCTGATATACAACTATTCAAATCAATATTTGTAGGACAGGAGTTGTACGACATGTTTCGTAATCGGTATTAACATTAATCAATTGATGAATATATATTATTATATATGTACACTCTTAATGCTTACGAGAGTAATTTTTGACAACAAAAAACAAAAATGCAATAAACTATTTTTGCCATATAAATCATCTAGCTGATGGTGAAATAAATAATTTAACAACGATATCATATAGTTATGTTACTTATACGATTAATTTTATAAATTTTTTTGATAAGAGCTAGCCTAAAAGTTGTTTTGACTTGGCCATTAACATTAACAATCATTTGACTGTCTGTAAATTAAATTAAAAGTAAGTTTCTATTAAAAGATATTGTTTGCGTGAAATTGATGATTAATTTTCTAACCTGAAAACCTTCATCGTTGATGGCCTTTCTAAACTCATCTTCAAGCTGGGTCAAACACACTACAAGTGTCTCAGGTACGAACTTCCCTCCAAACCTACCAAATTTTTGAGAACTGAAGAGGACTTTCCTCTCTAGAATTTCCGTTGTTGGCTTCTCTATGAAGGGTATTGTGGGTTTGTAAGTGGTGGTCAATTCAGGGACCTTAATTTTAAAGGTATCCTCCCGAGTCACCAATGCTTGAACCACAACCGAAGAGGCGCTCTCTTTGGGCTCTCCTTTCTTATCCATCATGAATTGCCTTATCCTACAATTGTTGCTAACAACTCCCCCTTGCAATTTGCATGCTAACATCTTGTTTTTCTATGACTCAGAAATTAGAGAGAAATTGGTGTGTGTTTGTGTTTGTGTTTGAGACCATGTCTCCTACCCATCCACTTTTATAGTGAGGGGTTGCCGTGATGGGAGAAGCTAGCCGTGTGGGCCGCGCCATTGGTTAAAATATCCAAAAGCCTAATATGCAAAGAAAGAACCTCAATAATGAAAAACCAAATGGTTAAAATATGCACCATCAACATGTGACTTCGGTACTTTATTAAACGTGTTTCACGATTTAACGCACTATGCAATGGCACAGCCACGCGAACATTTTCTAATGGGCGAAATTATAATGTAATTCTTTTTTAAAGTTATAATTATTTATATGATAAAAAATAAAAATAATACTTATAATTGAAGGTTCATGTAGAGTTTGAAGGTTTATATAAATTTGAAGGAGAACGAATGTCCTTATTAGTCCCTCCCTCACTTCACTTTACCACTGTAAAGATAATTATGGTGTGATTCTCGAACCTTTTTTTTTTTTTTTTGTGGTAAACATTCTCGAACCTTTTCTTTGGTTGAGTTTGACGCATATGGAACACAAATATAATAACACCTATCAAAAATAGTTGACTCAATTTTTTTTGTATTGTTAAGTATTTGATTATTAATGTATATAATAAAAAAATTGTAAATAAAACAACGTCAAAATTAATTATAATACTATAATTTACGAAAATAATGTAAAATTTATTATAATACTATATATGTTTTGCATTCTTTTACGTAGAACTGAAATAATAAGAAGGTAGCTAGGAATTATTAATCTTTTGTTCTTCTTTTGTTATGATCAAATTTTACAATAATAAAAATTTAAAAATTTGTGTTGTCTTTCAAGTTAATTTTTATAGAGTACTTATATTATTTAATCAGTTAAAAAAAATATAATTTTTTTATTATGTTGTCACTTATTTTTTAACAAATCAAACAAATGTTTTATTTATAGGTAATTAATTAGAGAAATTTAAGAATAAAATATTTCTAACACTCTTTTTCATAATTTTAAATTATTGAGCTCAGTTTCATAATTGTTGAGATATTCAAGTGTGATGAGTCCCACATTGGTTGGTAATGAGCTAAGTGAAGAGTATATAAGTGAAAGGACCCATGAACCCAATGCCTTAAGGTTTTGGGTTGAGACATGGTGTCGGATCCACTTGCTACGGTTGGTGTAGCCTTAGCTCATTGGTGGTGGCCCCCCCATGGGCTTTCCCTGGACCCGCTTGACATTGGAGTTTGAGGGAACGAATTTCCCAACAATAATTGTTCAATAATTAAAAAAATAAGAATTTTAAAGTAAATTTAAAAAATAATTCAATAAAAGTTGACAAAATGTTTGTTTTTTTAATAAATTATCAACAATATCAACCTGACTTAATTGTATTAATTATTTAAAGTTAATTATTTGTTGAGGCAGTCGATTATTTATTTATTAAAATTATTACAAAATATTTTTTTTTTGTATAAAATTACAAAATATTTATGTATAACCAAATAATTTAAAGTTGGTTTGCAGTGAAGTGATTTATGTTTGGATACTTTTATCTGAAATTGATTTTGATAGAATAAATCTCACCATGAAATACTTAACCCTACATAAAAGCATCATTTTATCCCTTCTAGTCAAACGGGTTTAGGGGCAATAGCAATTTTGATTCAACGCAGCCAAACATATAAATATGAAGCAACCCAGCGGAAATCCAAACATGCTCTTGAACTCTTCGTCAACATGAACTAACATCAAATTTCTGGAATGTAATCCTATGATTTGTTTCGAGTCAATTTTGGTAGTATTAACCGATGCATTGGATCTCAAATAATGAATGTTCACAAGCACGATGAAACTGAAGTTCATGCTACAAAGGGAAAGATATCATGGTTAATAAGCTTTATAATTATACAAAGATTTGATTGCGACTATACTGGTGGCAACTTTATAATTATACTAAGATATTATGGTTAATAAGCTTTATAATTATAATAAGATTTGATTGCCACTATACTAGTGGCAACTGCTTTATGCCCGAACAGCACTTGTTAATAATATAAATGCCAAATTTTTTTAGCCGATTTAGTCTTTCTTTACTGATAACACCTGGTGTTATTTATTTCACGCGAACTTGTGCATGTACTTCAAGCTGAATCCAGCAAATATTTATTTTTTGGTCTTTCCCATATGTGTGCAGGGAGGGCACCTATGAAGAAGGCAGTCAGAGAAAAAGAACGCGGGTTGACTAAAGTTGGCCAGTTTTGTGCACCTTTATCTTATGAAAATATTTATGCTTTTAAATATTTTTTAAAGATAAGCTGAATCATGTGTAATACGCGGCCTTTTGCCAAAATCATGTACATGTATAGTAGCTCTGGTAACCTGCATATTTTTCTTGCAGTCAAACTCAAAAGGTTGTGGGAATGAATCTTCTTACGTGAAAAAGTAATTATGTGATCATGTTATTTGATCACATTTATTTATTTAAAAATTATATACTTTTTTCTCTCTTATCTTATCATCTGGTTGTGATCAAATAACATGATCACATGATCAGTGGCGGAGCCAAGTACATCTTGAGTGTGACCTCGGCCCGGGGTAAATTTTAACAAATTAAATTAATTATATGTAATTATATAATTAATTATAATTTGACCCACGTTAAATTATAATTCGGCCCGGGCTACAATTTGTATTTTGGTCCTATCTAAAACATAATATTTTTTGTAAGAGATTTGGGTAAGTTATATTAGGTTATGTGTTCAATTTCCACTCGTATAAAAAATTATTTTATAAAATTATAATTCTTCTTGATACTGCCTGCTCAAGTGCTCTATATTTAATATAATTTAAATAGTTAGAGAGAATTATATTTACAAATTTTTTGTTTATAAACTCTTATAAATTACACTGTGTACTCCCGAAAATACACTAGATAACACTATGTATTTCCAGGAGTATATAGTATAATTTGCAAAAATTTACAAAAGAAATTTATAAACGAATCATTTTCCAATTTAAATATATTATGATATGAACTAACTAAAGTTAAAAAAAATAAATACACATAAATTTTTTTGATCCAGGCTAAAATTTGAGCCCGACTCCGCCACCGCACTTAATTATTTTTTTACGTAAGAAGATTCATTTTCAAAGGTTATATTTAACCTGCAATTTTGTCGTTCCTGATATTTGTGGTCCCCATAAAAGCTGTCAAAAACTATTGCTATTATTAGAACTACATTATTTATGGGATGGGGGCTAGGAAGCGAGATGCTACGTGTTGGATCATAATATGCCAGAGATGCTGTTATTTAGCCGGGAATTCACATAGCACAATATCCATGAACACTTAGTAAAATTCTTGGAGATATGAGAGAGCAAACTGCAGATATTTGATTTTTTTTCTTTCAATAAATTAGTTTTGCTTGTCATTTCAGTGCCAACGTTGCTTTCCTTTTCGTATTTTTTAAATTGCTTTTCCTCTTTTGTTTTGCTGTTCCAATGAATGAAAAAAGATGGCATAAAAAAAAAAAAAAAACCCTAGTAAATTGGTAACATTCGGGTGTCCTTGGGGAGAAGAGTTTTGCCTGTTTTGGTGTTCGGGCATCATCAAATTTTAAGTGGTTCAAATCAATACAAATGTGACAATTAATCAAAAAGAAGAGAGAGAAGAGAGTAAAAAAAAAAATTTATACAAGTGTCAATCTCTTAATGAAAGGAGCACATGAGGACAGGACCACTAAAAATATTCTTGTCCTTGGGATATGCAGGACAATCTATTAAGAATCAATTTTTTTTTTCATTTTTTGTTTTTGAGAATAGAAATGGATAGAAACTGTATTTGACAAAATCGATTTATTTTTTTGTTTTCGACAATGATCGGTTCAATTTCTGTGTTGGGAAACATAAAAAAGAATCAAAAAATTTCTGTTTTTTTGTTTCCGGACACAAAATGCGAAACATTTATCTTTCTCAATCACTCTCCATCACTATTATCACCACCACCACCACTTCTATTACCATCCCGACACAACTACCTTTACCATCGTCACCACCACCACCATAATGCCACTGCCACCATCACCACCACCTCTATGCCACTCTACCATCATTACCACCTTCGCCACCACTACCACCGACGCCGCCACCATCACCGCTGCAACCATTACCACCACCACCACTGTCGCAGCCACTACCTCCACACCATCACCACTACCATCACCATGCCATGGCCATTGCCGCCGCCACCATCGCTACCATTATCACCACTGTTGCGACTTCGGCAAGTGCACCGGTCGTACAAGTAACACAATGGTAAAAGTAAGGTTGTTGATCCCACGAGGACTGATTATCAAGCAATAACTTATCTATGCGATTAAAGTTGGAAAGATCTTTAAATTGGATTTGTTGAGAATAATACTTTAATTTTTAAAATAGAATTTTTAAAGAAATTATTTTTAAATTTTTTAATATTAAGAAATCAAAAACTGAAATCAAGAATTAATAACGTGAAGAAAACGGTTTTTAACTTTTAATAAAAGACGTAGCTAGAAACTCGACTTTTCCAATAGTTTCTCAACGAGTTTAACTTTCATGCAATTAAAGTTCACAATCAATTATTGACAATTTTTTCTTATGCAACTGACTCCCCAATCTCTTGGTGGTTTCAATTCTTTACTTTAGTTCAAGGCTCTAATCTGTTAGGGTTTTTTTTTCTAAAGTAAGCTTTAAGGTCAAGAATTATGCGTCATGAAATTTGTAAGACTATCCTTAGAACATACAAATTCCTGCAATTAACCAATCGAATTAAAGCATACAATATCCCTATTAGCATGCAAAAATCTACTGTTCATTCAAAATTGATCAGGTCAAGAACAAGACTATGAATATAAAACAGATTAATTGCATAATTAAAATACGAATAATAATTGTATCAAAGATTAAACAACGTTCAAGAACCCATTGGTTCCGTCTCGCCCTA